CTTCATGCCATTTAAGCCTTTAGATCCCTTTTAATTCGTCTCTAAAGAAAATTAGCAGTATTACCTACAACACTTTTTTCTTGCACTGGTTTCCCATAGGTTCTATTGGGCTTTACGCGCACTTGAATTATTAAACCAAGAAGTCATGGATTGACTGCTAAAAAGAAAAGAGAAAAATCTTTGATTTCCCAGTGTTTTGTCTGTAGATCTAGTGGTTTTCCTTTATTAGTTTGATTCAGTGATTATTTGGCAGGGAACCGATCAATTCATAAACTCTTAGTTAGCAAATCTGCTTGTAGAAGCACCAATACTTTTAAGTAGACCATTATAGATATGTTTTCTCTCATGTTTTCTGAATATGCTGGTTCTTCCCCCTGTTGTGGGAACAATAATCATTTACTTTATTTCGAGGTGATCTAGAGTACATTTCTTTAACAAGCTATTTTTGTTACTTAGTTTCTCCGTGAAAACCTTACCAATATAATAATCAGATCTACCAGACATGGGAATTTAAATCTCTTCTATTCAGGTAACTAGCAATTATACAAATAACATTCCCAAGAGGCAGAAATTTGCCACAGCTAGAGAAAGAGAAACTCAGACCCAAGAGCAAACTAGAAAGCAGAGATAAGAATTTCTGCAAAGCAACTAAGTATCTAAAACAGATAACCCTGCATTTAACTTGTTCCTGGTTCTTTAACCTGTCAAGGGCTGAAACTATTCCCCTACCACCCCACCAGCTAAGCACTTCCAACTCAAATGAACAAATTCACTCTAGATCTATCTTTAAATGCCCAATGACATCTTCCCTCCCATTCCTTAAAAATCAGAACACTAGTGAATAATTTACCATTTCTAGAGTGTTACTTTAAATACATTAAATTTAATCTAAATTTAAACCAAAAATCAAAGGAGATTTCTCAAAATACAGAAGCTAATGTTTTCCTGACTATTCATTGCTGTTATTTAAAAGGATATGGCGAACACACGTATTTAGAACAAGCCATACAAGATATCAGAATGAGTCTTGTACTAAGGCAATGTGAAACCCTGCAATCCAAGTCCCATCTTGTGGATGCTGACAGACAACCCTAAAAAATAGTAAGACATCTATTTCACCAAGACATTATCTTATCCCTTTTTAAGTACTTCAAACAAAACAGGTCAGACAGTTACATCCCACATAAATGATTCATGTACCAAACACATAATAAACTGAGAAATAAAATTTATTCTACAAATGAAAAATATGAGCCCTGAATATCTGTAAACAGTTCAAACTAAAGCTGAAAACTGGACATATTGTCCAAAGTCACTGGAACATTAAGCAAAGTTACAAAGAATCCTGCAGTTTACTGCACATTTGTTTAACATTTCTAATCTCATACAAAATCTAAAATGTTCAGAAAAATTTAAATGAAATTACAACATTTCTGACAAGCATAAGATTCAGTTTCCAGAATTATTAAGCTAATATCTAACCTACATGCAATCTCCATAGGTCAATGAGTCCATCTATATGAATTCGTATGTAAATGTAATACACATACTCTCTACTTCACTCTACTAACTTTATATGTACACACAGAAGAAGTCCAAAGATTGAGCCACCAAAATATGTTTTAGTGAAAATATTTTGATATAAAATACTTTGTTTTATACCAAATTGAAATTAAATATGTATATTTTGACTTAAACTTCCTTTTTTTTTGGTTTAAAAATTGAAAAATCACTTTCGATTCAACCAGAATTCATTCACAAGTAATGAGAAAATAAAATTTCAGTATTTTTAATGACTTTTTATTTCCAAATTAATAAAGAGGAAAGGAAGAGGTATGTGTATTTTCTCATAAACTTCAGCACATACAAAAATATAATGCACAACTTCAGGTGAAAAATTCAGGCCTAGAAAAAACGGTTTCAATGACACTTAGGTGATAGCAAGTCTGAACCAACTCTTTCAAGATACATTTTTCTACTACAAATATGAGAACCACCTAAATGTATTTTGTTTCTGTAATGAAAACAGCCACATTCATAACATGAACACGTATAAATGGACAATATGGGCCTAGAATTGGCTACATATTTACAGATTGAGAGCATCTGTAGTAAAATCAATCTATGTGGATTCACATCATTGTATCGGAGAGCAAATTAGAGTCATTCATTGCTACTGGCCTGCTCACTGAATATTTGATTGACCTGTTAGAAATGGCTTTAAAATGTTACAGGTCGTAACGGCATTTTCTCAATAGCTACTTCAGTTCACTTTACATGTGTGGACACTACGTTGCATGATGCACTGTAATACTGAAATAAAGCACTTTTTTTTGTTGTAGTGATTTATCTTGGTAAGCTACAAAACATGCTGTTATAACCCATCTACACTATTTCTTTTCATTAATTTCTAATTCAGCTTCCAGAGGAACAAGCGTTTCCTGCCGAGGTGAGGACACAACGGAGAACAGTGCTACTATATACTACTACCATCAGCAAAAGGTGAGTCTCAAAAGAATCATAAACGAGTTGTTGCAGAGTTTGTACACCCTCGTCTCAGACGACAGGATGGATTGGCATGAGAATTGGTACCATGCCTACACCTGGGACATTAATTTTGATTTTCTGTTTTTAAAGACTGCTTGGCAGCACTGAAAGAAAAACTGCTTAAAAGCACAGTCTTCTGATCTCCAACTGCACCCAAATGATATTCTTCTGCTATGTTTTATTCTGCTCTGAATTTTATATATATATAAATAAAAAGATATATATTTAATCTTGCTATCATCTCAAGGTTGAGCTGCACTTCTAAGGACCAAGAAGTTAGGTCTTTTGCCTTGAGAAGGCTGAAGTTTCCCTGGTTTTACTTATCAATCTGATCTAGGAGCAACAGCTATCCAACAGTCTGATTCAGTCCATGCTCCCTTTCCACAAAAGAGACTGTTCCATTCGTGCTAACATGATGCTGATATAGTCCACTGCCATTTTACTGAGTAATTTCAGTATCATTTGATATTCGGATCCCCTAATTTTTGCATGCAACTATTTTTAGTGCTCATAAAAATATTCCATTGTCTTGATGATGAGATCAAGAGACCTCCAATTTATTTTTTTTTTCAATAAGATTTTAATTTTACCTATTATGGGATAAACCCTACCCCATGTGCAAACAAATATCTCTGGTGTTGCAGCCGACAGAACAAGGTTCGGTACAGCACATTCAAAACAGAATTCGATGTGTTGTATTCTATTGGGGATTATCACGCTATCAGCATGATACCAATAGGACCTTTTCGAGTTAATTTTTTATGAGATTTCGGAGTTCATTGCTTACACCAAGAGCCTTGATTTTACCGTGTAAAGGATCCATGGTTCATACACACATTTCTGCTTAGTGAGGAAAGTGTTAAAGTTTGTCACTTGTATAATATTTTTAAAGCTGTGTAGGATGATATATCTTAACAATCTTGGAAGTTTAAGAAGCTGTCTCCAAGCAAGCAAACAAAGCAGAATTCATCTCTGCTTTTACTACAAAATTACATCTGTGAAACATCTGATTCAATGCTTATCTTTGAGTAGTTGCTTATGACAGAGGTCATTGTATGTTTTCTAATGTTTTAAAACTTCAGCCAAGATAGAGCTCATAGTTAAATGAAGAGATCACAAGGAAGAAATATTAAGGCAGAGACTTCTTAATCCATATGCTCACGGGGAGAAGAAAGTAGCCACCATTTATCACTGCCTGAAGCAGGACAGATTTCTCAGACACAGAAAACGCAGAAGGCAATCACAGCTTAGCAATTTCCTGGTGCCTTTCATCTAAACACCACATAATACTAAATAAACATTAATGAATTAAGCTGCTTAACGTATCTACAAAGTAAGTACAGTAAAGAAGGAAGGTACTTACTTTTTTGGCAGATGTCCTAGTACCCTAAACTTGCTGATCATAAAATGATCCAGAGAAATAGTTGCAAGCCATCAAGAAAAAAAATTCATATAATTCATAATCTATGAAGTGTTTTGTGAGAAGTTGGGGGAAAACACTCTCAAGATATTGCTGGTCGAGTAATTTTAAATTTGTATGGTTTCTTCATGAAAAGAAAAAGGCAAATTTTAAAAGGAATGTTCATGAAAAAAAATATCTGGTTTAGAATCAATTCTGTTCTTTGTTATCCATTTGTAAAATCTCCTTTGGTCAGCTCCAAGAGCTCCTAAAAGTCCCATTTCACAGTTTTAGAAATATAGGACTAGTTAGGAAAGCAAAAAAAAAGGAAATTCAAGTTACAATTAATTTATTTGTTCTGATTATTTAGTGTATGCATGAAGAAATTTCAGAAAAGTAGTAGTTTGAATATTTAAAGTATGTCTGGACATGCTTGCTTCCTGTCTTGGAAAGGAAGGACAATTGTCAGTGTAATGATTCTAAATCTTATGTGGATACCTTCACATTGATGATGTGTTTGATTTCATAAAGATTTTTCTAGAAGTCTCTCAATTTCTTCAGGAAATTTCAGTACAGGTAAATAAAAGAAGAGTTGTCTGCAAGCGTGTATCCTCTAATGGAAAACATCTCCATACTATTTCAGAATGTCCTCTAACATCATTCCAAGCCAGTATGTGAAAATTTTCTAAAAAAATTTTGTCAGCTAATCACAATTACACATAATTATATTAAAAAATAGCAACAGTTAAGAACTGGACTCAGATTGTAACATCCCTTTCATTTCAAACTATATACTTACACCTATAAGGATTATTTTTCTTCTAATACAACAAACGCATGAAACTAAAGCATTTCTTAAAAAAACCTACAAAACGTTCTAACTGTAGAAAAATACCAGTGATAAAATATTATTAGAAGTATTTAAAATCAGAGCACCAAATTCTTGGCTTCGTTACCTTGCTTCAACTCTATTAAACAAGACAACAACATTTGGTTAGATTGCAGTGATAAGGTCTGTTGATGTGTCTTGGTATGGCATGAAAACAAAATTGAAAAATTACCTTTGCAAACCACTGAAACAAGTTTGCTCACTCTGCTTCTTTGCTCCTACAAACCACATGGTCATGATTTTAAAAAATAAATAAGTCATAAATAACAATAGGACCCAAACTAAATAAAACTATGTATGTGTATCTTATTGTATAACTATCATCTTGATTATTTCTCAAAGGTTTTTGGCTCACATTTATACAAAGCTCTCTTCCATATTTGTGCATAGCAGAAAGGAATCCACAAGTCTGGGCTTCACTAGCTGCTGAAAATCTGAATCTTCAAGTCCATCAGGACTCATAACTGCTAGTCTTCGTAAGGCTGCCTAGAAAAACAAAACAACATAATATTAATACTGTTAAGGTTTGAAAAAATCTTCATTGCAGGAATCCATTATAATTATCTCTAAATAATAGCCAAGTCTCAAAACCGAACTGTGCAGGTCTACAGACTCTTGCACCTGGCTAATTGCTCGCTACTGCCTTCCTCTGTGAAACGAATCTCCCCTCAAACGCAGCTATTAACTGACAATTCCTTGGGGGCACATAACTCTTAGACCTGAGCAGCAGGGACAGTGTGATATTAAAGAAAAGAACAGAGAGGTGAGAGTCAGAGCACTGTGATTGTACACCTATCTCTGATCTGTTGCACACCTCACACTGCCTCTTTTGTATCTCCACTATCAGCTTTGGTCTTATTTATGAGAACTTTAAGCCATCTGATTCAGAAAATGTCTACTACTGAAGTTTTATGCTATGCCCATAACAGAGATCTTTTAAATATGAAGGTATTCGAAAGAAGCTGTACATTTTAAAACCATTTGGGAACAAATAAAACTGTCAGTTGTTACGACTATGAGGCTGCACAATTCAAATTGCATTGATGATACTAACATCTCCCCTTCTAAGAAGTTACTTGTTTTTCTCACTGGAGAAAAATATACAACAATTATATACCTTCTAGCAACCTGACAAAACAGATGCAACTGAAAAGCAGACTGGCTTTCCTCAAGAACAAAAATTGTCTTCTATTAGGAAGGTCTGATAGTTGTGATCAGCTTTTATCTGTGCTGTTTGTCAATGCAGCACTAAAACAAGAGTTAATTTCCTGCTTCAAAATACACAAAAAGTAAATACCAAAATACCAAACAGTACAAGCCCTCAGACTTTAGTGACAACACCTATCAGAGCCTGAAGAAGCTTACATCTCAAGAACAATATTTTTGCCACATATTTATGAGAAAGTGGCATCAGCCATTTGCTAAAATATCAGGAGGAGCAGAATTGCTGAGACAAGCAGGCAGGTATCTCAAGGGATAGGCATGAATTCAAGAAATGTGCAGCAAAAACTTCAATGAGACAGAGCACCAGAAAAATCACAGTCTGGTTCGCGGCCATCGCTCCGTGACCTCTGCTCTAGCCATACAAGATTAACAAGCCTTCTCGGCACGTACGAAGGATAACCACAGCATTTCTTATGCCCACATTCATACCCTCTTCATCCTGCATGAGTCCTGCTTAAATGAACAAAACTTCGGGTACAAAGCAAGTACTTTTGTGCTGGTACAAAGCAAGCTGTTTATCAAAGCTGCAACAACCAAGTTTTATGTTTAAAATAACATTAACACTAAAAAGCACTGTCTAACAATATTCTTGTCTTCATTCATCAAAACCTATCTCCTAACCCTAGATCACCCATGTCCCCAGAGCACTGTCCTCTCACAGAATGATAGGCAAGATCACTCAACTCCGACATTTGGCTGTGGCTCACAGCCCATGCAGCACAGGGCCAGCAGCCAGGATCCTTCTCCTCAGCAGAGAAAATGTTAACCTTCTGTTAGCCACCCCTTGACTGGACTCTATATTGTTTTGGAGACTCAAAGAGAAACAAATGGACTGTAGTGAAAGCAAGACATCTCCTTTCCTCTTCTCAGCCACTTTACATAAATATTTCCATACCTATGTGTGTGTGCAAATAAAGGGCTGCTACTCCTGATTCAAGGCTCGTTTCGGCAAATCGAGCATCATTAGAGAAGGGAATTTAAGCATTACTGAAACCTTAAATTCTGAAGCATTCTAGTGAAATTTTTTAGTGTGCAATAATATGAAGCTGCAGCCATTATTTCTTATGTGTCTAAATCTTCAATCAAAGGATAAATAATTGACACTGTACAGGATAATGCTTAAGGGGAAAAGCAGGAGACCTGGCAGGAATTTAAAACATTCCTTCAATACTTACGCATTTTGAAATCTAAAGGACTGCTTTTTTCTACATTTTTCAGGATAAACATGAAAGAAAGATTAAAATGTACCTACCAGACATGCCACTAAAACAGAATCACTGTTGTTTCTTTCAGTTGGTGATCTGCAAAGTTTAATTAGGCGAGGAATACCTGAGTGCACAAAAAAATATTGGGAGAAATAATTTAGAAAAACAATCTCCTTATTTTGAGATGAGGTCTCTTTTTAGATATTTCATATTTATCTTCCTTAGTAGATACGATCTCTAATGCAAAGATGATATGTAAACACTTAAGGAACTGTACATGGAGCTATGCATTCAGAGCAGTCATAATTAATAGTTGTAAAGCATAAACAAATGCATTGTTTTTATCCACTATTGCTCTTTCAGAGTGGAAATTGTGACCTTCATTTCTTCCCATCAATCCTCCCACACTCCCTTAAAAAACTCCCTCCAAAAGAACACGTTGCTTCCCGTTACATTTATCACATCTAAACCTGCAGAGCTCCAAATTTTCTGTCCACCGACAGATCCTGCACAAGGGTTTAAGTAAAGGAATGGAGGAGGCAGCACTGTCAGTTTGGCACAATTTGCCACAGCTATGTGTTGAGTGGATGCTGCACCTCAGGTTCCTCTGGGAAATGAGCCAGAGTTCATTTAGCACAACCTCCTAACTCACTCTCTGGACGGACTGTATGGGGAACCTATTCCATAAAGTGTCCCAAGGGAGGCTAAAAATTGAAAAGAGCTATGACTGGCAGTTCCCCTCTCTTTTTCAGCCTGTCATTAAGCTAGTGATACATCCTTACAGCTGAGTTTTACAGCTGCGTCTGCCACTTCAGGATCTCGGCTGAGTCGTGCCAGAGTAACTGCAGATTTCTGTTGGACTCGCTCACAAGCAGCAACTTCTGCTGAATTTCCTGAAGATGATCTTTCAAAGAGCATTTCCATTAGAAGCTGAACACCTAGAAGGATGTAAGAGCCATTGTTATCCTCTCTCCAAAAAAAAATTCATTGCAAAAAAAGCAAAGGGAAAAAGCAAGCTAGGTAAATACAGACCAATCACTGCTCAAACAGGGCATGAAGAATGCATAAATGTGGACTGCGATTTGGCCGTCAGCATTCAGGCACATCTGATCTGTGCATAAGTTTGTCTTCACTAGGAAGCTACAGAACTTCTGGAACTAGAAAATGAAATAACTCTTCCCTCCTCCAACTTCTTGACTCCTCTACAAGTTACTATTTCAGATTCCACAAATTTATTTCAGTCAAAGTAAACGTAATTCTTTATTTACTTCTAAACTAACCTGAAGGTAATCACTAACCTACAAACCTGTAGTGACATATTTCAGGCCTCTGCTTGAACTTTTATTTTGAAATAAAGGAAAGTAAAACTTTATTTTTTTCAGTTTATGTATTTTTAAACAAGCCTTCAAAAGTTCCCACCTCAAACTGTTGAAGAGTATTTTAGAATGGGGAATTCTTTAATGACAGAAATGATGAAATTCTGCCTCTTGAAGTTTACTGTGTGACTAACCCTTCACTTCAGAAGAGACAATGTCATCCATGTCAAAATGATTTCATCAACTTGTTGCCTGTAGGAATTGATATTCTTACTGTAGCAGCACAAAACCAGATGAGACTGCATTGATTTTTATTTTCTAGATTATCTTAAATCTAAGGACGATTAAGTGCTATTAGACTCCATATGTTATTAGGCTTTCAGATTACTTCATGTAGCATCAGAGGACTTTAACTGTTAGAACATTTGCATAAATAAAGAAGAGAATTACCATCAGAATCACACGGCTAGATGATAATCAATAGACATATAAAAAAAGTCAAAGCTAGGAAGAAAATGGATCTAAACTCTCCAGGATTCAAACACCCTTCTCAGTTTGTGAATCTGGCTTCTGAGCAGCATCTGATTATTACAATGTTAGCCAGCCACAAAAAGCCTTTACGCACAAGAGGAGTGTCAACTCTTCTGAAAAGCTGGGGGTCAAATGCTTCTGTGTGAACTTCCAGTACTAGAAAAGACTCTGGGTAGGGAAGCCCCATGTGCCTGCACCAAGGGGTTCAGGACCACCTCTCCAACTTCTAGGAGCACAGGGATCTTGGACCAAGAGCATGGCAGGAACTGTCACATGGACCTGATCAACCTTTCTCTGGGGCTGTCTCATCCCTCTGATGCAAGAAGGAGGTCATATAAGAAACCATGACGCTAACTTGGCTTGCTCATTGCCCTCACTGCACTGTCTTCTGCACAGGACAAGGTAGTCAGGTAATATGTAAAATTGCGTATATCTGTGATTAAATTGCTTCAGTATCCAGATCCATTCAACCTTCACATTGCCATTTGTCAATTCTATTCCAAGACCTGCTTCTATGTAGATCCTTTCTGAAATCCCTTCTCCTACCTACAATCAACAATGTCTGAGATTCAAATGGATCCAAACTCAAACGATTTCTATCCAAATCCTAATTTAAAAAGTCTGGAAGGGATATTCCTAGGACAGAAAAAGCAGTAAATGTGAAGCTTCACTGTAATTTAATATCTCCCACAGCAACAACAACAAAAAAAGGCATCTTACTATATTACTTAGCCACAAATTTGCTGGCAGGTGTATTAATAAGGCAGTTATGTCTTCCTATACTCTTATCCACCGAGTTATTAACCTAACTTCTCAGACTTCTGGTGAACCTGTAACACCTAGGGTTTTTTTCAACATAATGAATTTCTCGTAATATGATATTTAAAGAAGTGGGGAAAAAAATGGCAACTGCAGTATAGCAATAAAAACATAATGCTTAAAAATTCATATTACTTCCGAATATCTGTGAAAAAAGTGACACAAAATGCAGGTACGCATGGCTCAGTATCAGATGATGTCTTTCAATGTGTAAGAATTGCCACCTTATACAGTGTAATTACTAGAGTAAAGGTTGTTGAAACACTTTGTACTGTCTTGCTTTGTATCTATGAATGTCACACACACAGAGAACATCAGTAATACGGTCATACATGTAAAGTTTTCTAAAGCACTGGTAATTTATTTCAGTTACATAGAACCATCCAAGAACTCACTTTGCACCCTGCAGTAGTATGTAATATCCATTAGAAACAGGATGCAAAATGAAGTGTCATTAGTGAAGCCTGTCTCCTTTACCTTGCAAACCACTTCTTTCCCATCCAGCCACATTCTCCACAAACACAGAATATAATTCAACTAAAATACATACCATTTCCTTGAATGATTTCTGAAGCACACTGGTCCAAGACAGACATGTTTGCCAATATTGTTACCACCTGTTGTTAAAAAGAGAAGGAAGTATGAAGTATAGCCCTACAATTCAGTAATATTAAACAGCATTGTGGTTTGTAAAATTAGTATGGCAGAAATATGGCAAACTCGATAAAATTAAAAGCATTCTTGTAGTTGAACAGTCTATTCCTGCCTTTGTGATTTTCAAGGGTCTCTATTTTACACGTCTGCTAACTGAAATCTAGACAAGCAGAAAAGTAAAAGCTTTTATTCTCACATTTCTATACTCGTGCATAAAAGTCTATCATATAGAGCCTATGCAGCAGATTTGGTCAGCAGTCAAATTGGTAGAAAGAGGAAGATAAAAATTTATAAAACCCAACCAACCAAAAAAACCTTGGAGTCCTACAAAGAATTTAGCCAAGAGCTGCACACCCTCAGGAACCAATCCTGTAGTCACATTCCAGCTCAGGTGGAGCTCACAGTGAAGGCTAAGAACCTGCACATAATGTAGGTTCAGTAGCACTAAGTTACTGCTACTTTTCTGCTTCAGGGTTCAGCTAAAACGTTGATAAATCCTTGCAACAGATTTTGAGTTTTGACTTTCTGCTTCAGGGTTCAGCTAAAACGATAAATCCTTGCAACAGATTTTGAGTTTTGAGCCTTGATTCAAGGGAATATGTAAGGATTACTTTTCAGTTTTATTGAAGTCGTAAGCTGTGTGCATGTCAAAGCAATGTCTCAAAATGAGCTGGATTTAAAAAACTGTTTATATCTTTCCTGAGCTAAGGCCAAGATTAGGTTTTGTATCAACAGAGGCACATTTTGAGATCCTGATTTACAGAATTTCTTATTCAAAATAGCACTGTTTTCAAGATTAGCTGTAAAACTCAGCTTGTTTAAAGTGATGCAGCAAGCCATTGACAGAGGCTGGATCACGTGGAGCTTTCGATGACCCATTCCCTCATTGATATCATATACTTTCTCTCATACATCCTGCAAGATATTCTTTTTCACTGTATCCTTCAAATAACTTGCTTCCTGCATGTAAACACATCTCAATATTAACAGCATATATGAGAGACCAAATAATAAATGTTATAGATCATCAGAATAAAAAATAGGAATAATATTCTTTCTGAAGAGGTTTGAATTTTCTCTATTCTAGTTGAGAAAAACTGATCAGCCTCAAAAATAACGATCAATTTGAGAACTGGTTATCAGCTTTTAACAGTACAGTGTCAGTTCACAAACAAGTAAACTTCTTAGATGTAAGTAGGCATGAGATCAAATCCCCGTTCTGATCTCACTTTGCCATTTTAATAACAAGGATGACTCATCTTCAATGCTGCGACATAAAGGTCTTCCACTGTGGAAAGTAGTGTTACAGTGTCATCTCTCTGAATAAATATACTTACTTAGGATGTAAATGAGTTGCTGAAACTCTAAAGAGTGACAGGTAGAAATATGGTAACTCAGTCTATGTCTGTGTATTTATTCCATATTAATTATTAACTGTGTTTCAGGCAGAGTGTGTATGTTTTCTCATTCTAAATTACATCCTGTTAATGAAAATTGCTTCCTCTATGCAGAATCTGTACCCCATGTGGCTTTCTAAGCCACAGACGAAGAATTCAATTAACCACGATTTGAATACGTGCCAATTATTCCACTGCTTCAAGTTATTTCGTCTAATAATTATTTTCATACATAAAAATGCTTTGTGTGTATCTCTTGACACCAAAAGTTATTTAAGGTTATATCTATACTTCCTTTGCGTTGATTATGTGGCCCTGTATATTTTCCAATGGATTTATGAACTAGCCCAACAGGTTTATATGTAATCTTCTCTAGAGGGGTTTACAGAAGATCCTAATCATTACTAACTGCCAAGTTCTAACCATATTATCTTTTAAAACCTTAGTAGGACTTGAAAGGCAGTTAAAATATAGATTAGTTCACTCTATATGAATAGATTTTTCTTTCCCCAAAAAGTCACATTTTCCTGTGATGTAAACAATGTAACATGAAATAGCATAATGTAAACACAAATAGGCAAGCTGAATGAAGAGTTGGCTTGAAATGTTATATTTATCCTATACTTGCCTATTTTAAAATTCAGTATACATGCAGCTAACACAAAAATTTCCTCTGCAATACAGACCAAAGTTCAAGGAAGTTTAATACTAAAGATGAACTCTCCAGAGGAAAACACAAACTTGAATATAGACTCAATTTGCTTTGAAAAGCAACACTTCCATGAGCACTGGTATTAATGAAGGCTTTTTTTTATTATTTAGAGTTGATCAAAAACCATAAAGAAAACTTTTCCAGTGGCATCTCTCTCACTGTAGATTTTTTTGTCTAATGATATAGGCTCACACTGCAGTCTTTATCTTAGCCTCTCTTTTCCTATTATTTGTCTACAAATTTCATAAAGCCTTAGGCAGTCTCTCAAAAATAACTGTGAAGTTCTGTTGAATCAGCAAACTAGTTAAGATGTTATTGTGAGACATGGAACACACAAACAGATATAGATAAAAGTGACTGCTTAAACCTCATTTCCACCAGGAAAATAGATGAAAATTACTTGAAAAAAAATAGATAACAAAACCTCTTTCAGAATTGAAATAATTTTGAAAGAATTGAAAGACTTGAAAAATATTTAACATGGAATCTCTATTGTTCAACTGTAATATTTAGTATCAATTTCATTAATTGTTCAAGACATTTCTTCTAAAAGACTCTAAGCTTATAAAGGACTGGCAGCTGAGACCATTTATGATTCTTGCTTTTTTTTCTGGATTCTTAAGCCATGTAATGAACTTGAAGTCAGCTCAAAGTATAAAAAAGAAAGCTTTCTGAAGACAGAACACATGAGCTCTGATCAGCTGCTAGTGCTACCATACCATGCAGTATGATACAAGTCTGTTCTGGAGACATCCACAAATTCCAGTACCCTAGTGATATCTTGATATGTGGGATCTGTAGATGTGCTATTAAGCAAACACTGTCAGAGATTTTCCAAAGAAAAAAAGTTGCTTCATCATATGTGGAATTTTTTAATGAAACATCTGATCTCACATTCCACTGCCAAATCTAATGTATATGTATGTATGTAATGCAGAGAAATCATGTGCTGCAAGAACTGATCCCATCCAGCATAATTCCCTGCCTCAGTTTCTGTATGTTTGCTAGGCAGCTCTGTGAACAGCTTTCTCTGCAGGAACTGGTAGCCCTAAAACCACTGTACACTGAACACCACAGAAAAATAGACTTGATCAACAAATAATGAACTAGTACATTTGTTTGCCACCAGATGAAAGCTAAATTATTCAAGTCAGTGTCACATGATTTAGACCACTAAAAACAACCAGAGGAACAGGTCTCTGGGATTTATCTCTGCGTTCAACACCTACCTGTTAATATGTGTTATGTTCTACACACCTAAACCACGTAGTAGTGAGACAGTAAAACACAAAATGCCAGGAAGAGACTTCTCGGACCAGCTCATATTTTAGCACCTTTTGAAGAGGCACCGACTTATCAAAATATTAACATGCAGATAGTTCCACTGGAACGAGTAAGATTTTTTAAAAGACTAAGAGACTAAGGAGTTAACTTTCTGAACTTAAAAAACCATACCCAAAATCAAGATGCTTTGAAAGTTCACCTTTAAATGATTCATTGGTGAACTAAGTATGCAGGCATATTTGGGGAGGAGGGAGCTCCTCTTTAAGACCATGGAAAATTTCCTTATTTAATAAATAAATTTAAAAATAATTGAAATATTTCATAATTTTCAAATATCAGTATAGCATCATGTTGCTAGTCTTGCAGTTGCCCTGGAAATTAATCTAAAACCTAACTAAAAATATTTGTTTCTATAGGCAAAATAAGTACACAGATAGTAAACACAGATACCTCTCTGTAGTGACAATATCATCCATTATTATTAAAATTGGCAATGTTATCTTGTTGGTTACTCTAGTAAACAAAATCCATTTTTATAATTTGAAAAGTGGTTTTAGTTCCACATAGTTTTCTTCCACTCACCCAGCCTTTCACATATACTGATTTTATAAATGATGAACCTTCCTTTTCAGTTCTGTAGTCTGATTTGCACTGAATCAGAGGAATTTCAGTTGTCAAGCGTGATTTACATTTGAGAAACCATGGTTAATTAACAACCTTTGAAATAGTTTTGTTCAAACTCTTTTGAAGAACAGGAGTCATCTCGGAAATTCTCTTGCTAAAAAAATGTAATCACTAACACTGTAATAAAACTTTTCCTTCTAAACAACTAATAGTGACTAATGCTCATTAACCAGTGCACAAAGGTAATGAATGTTTGTTGCAAAAGTGAAAACTAGATGAAAACTAAGATACATACACCGAGAGCGCAAATCTCAAATGCTTTAGTTAAGAAAGAGATTTAAACCTAGAGCACAGAAGAAACACAGAAGGGGGCTTTGATAACTTTCCCTCAATGGGAGATTTAAGATGATCTAAAAGTGTTTCTCATTATTGTGAAACCAGCTACTCAGGAAGAAAGATGGAATAGGATTTGGAAGATGAAAGCACACATTTTAGCCAGTTAAAGGAGCAATGTCTTCCACATTTGACGGTCACTTACCTCACTTAGGGGAAGGGGAGGTGTCTACAGAGGTGGAAGATGTGATGCTAATGTACCTTTATTGATAATAAAGACACACTGTTCATTAAGCTTTTATTGATAGTCCCAACATAAATAGACACAAGCTCAAAATGAGAATTAGCAAGTAATTTAATTGAGTGGCAAAGTAGATCAATATAGAATCGTTAGTTCTCTTAGTTAATTACTCCTTTAAGGCTGATTCATCACTAAGTAAAATTAATTTTTCTATATATTACTAGAGTATTTTGTAATTTGTTCAAATAAATGACATAAGAATAAATCAGAATGTGTCTGCAAGTTCCAGATACTCATCTTCAGAAACAAAGGGACATCTGACAACTAAACAGAAGCAAGATGGAGTCTTTGCTTCTGAATGTAAATTGAAAA